AGAGCATGGAAAATAGCTAGAAAACCATACCTCACTCGTCCGATTTGGTGGCCGTAGGCGTCCAAATGAGCTCCCGAAAGTTTACTAAAAAAAAAAACTGTCCACCATTGCCTGTTTCGTGGTTGATTCCGGCGACCACACCGGCGGATCACGGCTGGGATGGGTTGAGATTGAAAGAGGGGAGTGAGGTGGTTCGTTTGGCACTGGTCTTGCTCGAATTGGTGGTCGGAGCTGAGAGAAATCCTCTCCTAAAGTCGGCTGGTCGAGTTGCCGACATATGAGAAATCTAGGTTTTTAAGAAGGGAGTTTCACTAATACACCCAAAATAGAGGCTGAAATTATAAAAAAACCCATTTTAAATACACACCCAAGACACATTTATTAAACACACTCAAAACCCATTTATAAACACACCCAAAAAAATATACAATTGTTGATTTTTGGGTTGATATTGGGTGTGTTTCTATGTTTTAAACAGTGTTGGTTTTTTTTATAAATTCATGTCTAGGATTGGGTTTATTTATAAATTTGTATTTTAAGAACTCAACTTTGAAATATTCACGGTTATGCCATTGAACTTCTTTTGATCGTAACTCCTTCGTTACAACTCCGATTTGAGCCCACTACGTGTCTACAGACTCATCTCGCTGCGCTCTACGCAAGGTATAACTGAAATTCCCAAATTCCTTCCCGGTCAAAAAGTCAACTTTTAAATCATTAAAATATTCTAAGGGTATAATGGTCTTTTATTGGAATAAATTAATAATTAAATATTAATTAAGGACTGGGTTGTTACAGGAGTGATGCGTTGGAAATGCTCTTAGGCGTCCCTTTTTTAAGATAAAAAAAGGTATAGTCGCGCAACTATACTCTTTTAATATATTATATCTAAAAGGCGAATAGCCTCACGGCTTAACTATTTATTAACAAAAATTTAAAGAAAAGGATCTTTCTAGTTGCATTAGTTTATATTTTATAGATATTAATTTTCAATCAATAATATACAAAAATTTGGTGTATAATACATGAATTTTGTGTGTATTATTGGAAATCTGGTTTTTTTTTTTTTAAATGTATTAAACATGAAAAATAAATATGTACGTGTACAATACAAGTATTAAAAGTGAAAATGCTAAATTCTAGAAATGTAAAAACTCAAAAGGGGACAATAGAAACTCGATAATGGCCTAATAGTAATAATGGAGATTTAAAATGAGTATAGTTGCGCGGCTATACTATACTACTCTTATAGATAAACAAAAATTGGGGAAAAATAATTTTGAAAAAGAACGTAGTATCTATTTAAAGAGTATACTGTTGCTATTTTTTTTTTAAAAATCCGGATTATAGTCATGCAGCTATACTATTTATTTATTTTTTTATAAAAGGGATTTGCCTATCGATTGCCCCTAGAGATTTTGATAGACATATAGTATTTTTATTCACAAGATATGATTTCACAACTTATACTACCATCATCTTATCATGACTATCACCATAACCGCCGCCGCTGCCGCCATCGCCACCTCCACCACCACCCACCGCCGGCCCACCATCACTACTACCGTCATCACCGCCAGCACCATCACCATCACCATCATTGCCACTGCCACTACCACCCCCGCTATCAGCCCCATCGTCTCCACAGCCACAGCCACAACCAGGATCATCAAAAACCTATCCAGCCACATCACCCTTGGCCTCCCAACCTTTTCTCTCTATCTATCTATCTCTCTCTCTCTCTCTCTCTCTCTCTCCACCTCTTGTGCCACCCCATACCCAAAACTCAAATCCACGCCACAACAATGGCTGCCTCCTCTTTAGCAACATCATAAATCTAATTTTTGGTTCTACCAAATAACATAAATCTTTGATATAAAGAGAGGCAAGCTGAAATAATAAGATCGAGAAGCCCCCAACCCCGTCCCTTTCGCGGCCGTCGTAGCCCATGAGAAGTTCGAGAAGCTCGACCCCGAAATCTCCGACCTCACCCTTGAAGAGGCTCGCATCCTCGTCGACTTCCTCCAAGACAAGCTTGGCGGCTCTGCTGCAGCTTTGGTTTCGGTCGTTGTGGTGGCATAGAGAGAGAGAGAGACAAGCTTGGCGGCTCTGCTGCAGCTTTGGTTTCGGTCGTTGTGGTGGCATAGAGAGAGGGAGAGAGAGAGAGAGAGAGAGAGAGAGGTGGGGAATAGGGTTGTGTCACTGGGTAGGTTTTGTTTTAAAAGAACTAGCCTCTTCGCACGTGCTTTTGTGCCTGCGAGAGGCTTTTTAAAAAAAAAAAATATATTTATTTTATAATTAAAAAAGATAATGGGTAGTTGTGTTCCATAAAAATATAATCCATTATCTAATTTTTCTTAGCCAAAAAGAGCTACTGAATAGCTCACTAAAATTGATATGACTGCTATGGATGGCCCGATACTGGGTATTCTCCTAGATGGAAGAAGATTTTCTTTGAAAAAGTGTGAATTTACCATATTATCCTCATTTAATTAATAATTTCAATTCTTAGTGCCAGTTTGGCATTGCTTATTTGAGGTGATAAGTGATTTTTTAAAATTTTTGAGAAGCCTAGCTTGTATGGTAAACTATGAGAAAATCACTTATTGTTAAAAGTTGATGTGAGAGAAAGCTATAAGGGAAAACAACTAATGAGATGCTTTCATTTTCTGATTAAATAGGAATTAGTTTTGAAGAGTGTAATCTTAAATTAATATTTAATTATTAATTTATTCAAGGAATATTTTAATGGTTTAAAAGTTGACTTTTTGTTCTAGAAAGAATCTGGGATTCTAGTTGTACTGTTGTGTAGAGCACGTCGAGATGAGTTCGTAGACATGTAGTGGGCTCAAATCGGAGTCATATTGAAGAAGTTACGATCAAAAGAAGTCCAGTGGCACAATCGTAATTTTTGCGAAGTCAATTTTTAAAAACCAGAAACCTCTCTCTTCCCCCCCGATCCAGCCCTCTCCCCCTCCAGTTTCGCAGTAGATTTTCGGACGGTGAGAATACTGCCGTCTGGCCACCATTTCTAGCGCCACAACTTGCAAACTTTTCATCTCTCTCTTCTCTACACATCTATGCCAATTTCCAGCCACAAATCCAAGAGAATTAGACCTAAAATTCGAGCCAAACCTGAGCCCAAAACAGGCTAGTTTTAAACAGCAACTTTCGACTTCGTTTCCCTCCAACTCCAGCCACCCCAGGTCGTGCCATCACACCCCAAACACTCCCCTACCTTCCCTCCTTAATTTCCCTCAAAGACCCGACCCAATTTCAAGTAGGAATTATCAAACCTAATCTCAAAAATTTCCAGGTTTTTCAGGAGACAAAATCCTTTGTTCGAGGGCTTTAACGGTGGAATTGATCTTCGAGTAAAGGTATAAAGTTACTCTCCTTAATGTGCTTGATCTGTAAGTATGATTATTGGCCGGCGGTTTAGAGTTTCCAGATCGTCGAAGAATTTCTCTACACACCGCGGACGTGTGGCTGCACTTCGACGGGGTGTCAAGGTTGGGCATTGGCCCTAAAATGATCCTCACGTCGTTCTGAGCACGAAGGTATGCTCGGATTTCATTTTGATTACCGTTTTTTTGTCGATCGGATATCGCATATTAGACGTTATCCGGGTTCAATATGTTCCGACCTTTGAATCGACTTCATTTTCAAATATTTTGATCTAGGCACCTCTAGGATCGTGTAGAAATTCATGGATCGAGAATCGGAGTCTTGGATATTCAGATTCAATAATTCAAAGTTTAGATAAACGACAACCATTCGATCATGCGATTGCACTTGATCCGACCGTTTGATTCGAACCAAACTTGCAGGGCATGTTTAGTAAAGTGTGTTGAACCTATAGGAACTCTCTGATTGGTAAACAAAGGTCGTGGACCCCACGGGGACCGGAATGACCAATATGGAAATTTAATCGTTTATTCAATCTCAAATCTTTTCAGACCATTCCGCTTGTCAGAAATGTTGAAAATGGGCCTACGAACTTTCTTAAGTTACATACACACACTTTTGAGGTCGGGGGTCAGGGTTTTGATTAAATAATTGTGGTTGAGTTATTTTATTGATTAAATGTTTTAATTACTTAAATAGGTACTAGGGCTTTATTGAACTCGCAGGAAGGACCATTGAAAGGGTTAGGCTGGCTCAGACGCTCAGTGAGTGGACTTTTGTTTTATAAATAAATTTTATGCAGTAAAAATTTTATTATTTCTATGGAATGAATTATTTATGGTTTCGCTTTCCAAGCAATTAGTTTGAATCCAAATATTTTTATTAAATTCTGTTTATGTTTAAACGTGAATGGCTTGGAAGGTAGGAAATGAAATGATAACGGGATTTAAGGATTTAATGAGAAATAAAATTATAATTTTTCCAGGAAAGGCTTTTAAATCAACATAGGTACCCAAAATATTGCTTTCAGATGTCCACGGACATCCTAGTTGTCTTCAGTTGAGTCAGCGCGCATTTGACAGTTGCTCCACGAGTTTTAGGGATATTCGGATCGTGAGGAGCGAGGAATGTGACTCAGGTTGACCAAGTGTCCCCTGAGTCTTGCAAGGAATGTGGCTAGGGTGACTTGTGTTTCCGAGGCCTGCGAGAATGTGTCGCTTATGTGATACTTAGAATTGACGATATAATATGGGAAATAAAAATAAAATCATGGAATTGACGGATATATGATGGGTATACCTAGGTGGAAAGGAAGTATTTGTTTACAATATTTTCAAATTGTTATAATGATTTGTTTGAATGCATGATCAGTTATATGTATATAGATATGCATGCTTGAACTTTTGTACGAATATAGAACAATGATATAATTGAATTTTCTAAATATTTTGACAGTGGGTTTAGTATGTTAATATTATATTTTTTCAAAACTTTATTTTGTCAACTCACAATTTTAAATTTTTGCGCCCCCAGGCAGTAATCGTGGTACATATTGAAAATACCCCAAAACTCGAGGGGGTAAACTAGGGATTAGGGTTTAGGGTAAACTAATGTTTGTCGAACATTAAACAACCGAAAAGAAGCCAAGCGGGAGAGAGTACCGAAAGGAAGAGAAGCGAAGCGAGAGAGAGGAAAATGGCGAGGAATTCAGGGGTTTTGATACGGCAGTTGCTTGGCAATCGCAACAACCCGTGTGCAGCAGGTCTTCTTCATCATCTTCACCAAAAACACATCCAAAACCTAACTTCAGTACCAAATACCACACCATCTCCACCACACACAATCGATATCCGTTCCGCTTCCAAACCCTTCTCCAATAATTCCATTCACACCCCAAACCTTCAATTTCTGCAACAGAGACGATATCTCTCCTCATCCTCACTCTCAGAGTCAGATTCAGATTCAAAACATTTACTTTCAGGTCCCTCAAACCTATTCCTCATACAGTGCATGGCTATCCATACTGAGGCAGTTGACAATGTTAAAGGTATGCCAATTTCTCCACCAACCTCATCCCTTCTAAATTTTACAAATATTCAAAATAGGAAATTAAGTTTTGTTGTTTATTTTAATTTTTAATTTTTTTAATTCCTTGGCATAGATGCTAGGTTGTCTGCGGTTTTCTACTACACAGCACCCGGGTGCCGGGCTAGTAAGTTCTAACTTCTAATCAATGAATTTTCTTTCATCAATCAAGTGATTTGCAATAAATTGCTCTCTTCTTGTGCAGCCCGTAAGTGGATAACTCCAATCCTTGATGAGTTGTGTGAGCAATTCCAACACATAAAAATGTATAAGGTTTACATGGATAAGGTAACTTTTTGAAGTGGTTTATGGTTTATTGGAAACAGTAGTTTGACAACTTTCTTACTCCTAACATTGTTCTCTCCTTTAAATCAGATTGTTTGGGCTGAGGCCTAAGTTTGGCTTGGAACCTGAAATATGGATTTAATGATTAAAAGATTACTGCATAAGTTTAAGGAAAACAATTGTACAAGATGTGAAAATCATTAATCTAATCTTGGTATCTGTTTACCCATATAAGATCATTGATATGCTTGAACAATGCATGTGAAAAGGTTTTGTTGACAATTAAATCTTGTTTTGTTTTTCTTGTGCGTGGGTGTGATGTTTGGTTTTGTGAAATAGTTCATTGTCTTTGAATAAAATATTTTCTTTGGTTGATCACATATAGAGGAAGTTACTTTAATCAAACTGATGGTATGAATACATCACTATAGACAAGAAGTCCTTACAACATTACAAATATAGTCCCACAAATCCTGACAATTTTAGACCTTTTACATTCCAAATATTGTTTAGTGTGTACTACACTTCACCTTGCATCTTGACTAGATGCATTAGAATATGGTTGGGAAATATTGTTGGTGAATAGATTTTGACAATCCATGATACTGAGAAGAAATTAAATTTTCTTCTTCGAGTTTCCCTGAACAGTTGAAATGATATAAAAATGTATAGTGAAAGAAAAGGGGCTACGTTGTGAGCATAAAACCAGAGTCAGTGAAAGAAAAAAAAAGTTCTTGTGAATTTCTGCTTGTGTGTGAGGCACATGTTGTCTTGGAGTGACTCCAAGGCACCTTCAGTGTGATGATGGAATTTATCTAATTTCTCAACATGAAACCTTTGGTGCGATGACAAAGGCCAGAGTGAGTCCGGATCTCTCATTTCTTCCTATCTTCCCTTAGGTCTCGTTTGGTTCATGGGAAAGGAGGCTTGGGAATGAGAATTCAATTGCTTTCCCATGTTTGGTAAGTCTAGGCATGGGAAATGGTTGCCTGGCACATGGGAAAGTAGGGGGGAAAGTGAAGCCCTCCTCTTAACTTGGGTTTTGTTTTCCCTCCTCATGGGAAAGTTTGGGAAAATGAGCCAACATTCAATGCACAATTTTCATGACTATTTTGTCCATATGAACAATTTATAATTACAACGTATCATTAAATGCTTTCTTTTTTTATTTGATTTAATACGAGTGTAATTGGAAAATTATACGAACTTTGTTTTCCATTCCTACTTAAAACAAACATGGGAAAGGAAACAAAGTGAAATCTCTCAGTTACTTTCCCAACATTACCAAATGTGGGAAATGAATCTTTCATTTCCATTTCTTGGGAAATGACATGGGGAGTGATTTCCCTTCAAATCCATTCCGTGAACCAAATAGGGCCTTACTGTTCTCCATCAGTTTGGTATCAGAGCATCCTCCACCATGTTCTTACATGGTGAGAGATCCTGTGTACTAGAGGCAGATGGTCACGTTGGCAACCAACTTAAGAATATTCTACCTCAACATGTCAAACTCGAGGTCGAGTTTTCTGCAATGAAGGGAGAATGATGTAGGAGCAATGTTCAAGTTTAGTAAATGGGAATCTTTCTAGTTTCCTATGTAATAAATGCAATTTTATAAGGTTTACTGTCTTTGAGTCTCCCTATGGGACACGATTAATGTATTAGGTGTAATAATTATGTCTTTATAATTCCCAAGTGTGTTAATGTGGATCTTTCAACATTGATGTACCAATTAACCTATAAAAGGGGCTACTTTGTAAGCATAAAATCAGAGTTAGTGAAAGAAAAAAAAAAGTTCATATGAATTTTTTATTGTGTGTGAGGCACAGTTTGTCGTGGAGTGATTCCAAGGCACCTCCGGTGTGATGCCGGAATTTATCTAATTTCTCAACTGGAAACCTGTGGTGTGATACCAAAGGCCACAGTGAGTCCGGATCTCTCATTTCTTCCTATCTTCCCATATTTTCCTACATCATGTTTTTTCTGGGTGAGAGATAACTTAATCGGGTGCAAGATAAAACAAATGTCTTTTTCATTAGCTATGCATTATTTGCTTGCTCATGTCATGCATTATTTTTTTTCCCATACTCTAATTATGATCTGACATGCAGCTCCTCATAGAAGAATCATGATATTATATGTTGTTGTGCCTCTAAATTAGTAGGCTTGACGTTGTTTATTGTATCTACAGAATGGCCCTAACTCATTGGACATATCGGAAGATCCTTACAAGATGGTATATGATCCATTCCTTCTATTTTGTTTTTATCAGAAGGTTACTTTAATCAAACAGATAAGATCAATACATCACTATGGTTTATACTCTTCTACATTTCACTTTTCATCTTAAATTGGTTGGGATTCAGGGGAAGATGTTGCCTTTTCTTTTGTAATAACAGTAGAAATATTGTTGGTGAATAAATTTGACAGTCCATGATACTGAGAAGTAATCAAAATTGTGTTTTGTGAACTAGTTCATTGTCTTTGGAAAAAAAAAAAATGTTTTCTTTGATTGATACGATGTAGAGGAAGTTACTTTAATCAAACTGATATCATGAATACATCACCATAGACAAGAGGTCCCCGTATACAACAATACAAATGTAATCCCACAAATCCTGACAAATCTGAAGTGCTAACTATTTTAGACCTTTTACATTCCAAATTTTTTTTTGTCTATACTACACTTCACCTTGCATCTTGACTGGATGCGTAGAATATGGTTGGGAAATATTGTTGGTGAATAGATTTTGACAGTCCGTGATACTGAGAAGAAATTAAATTTTCTTCTTCGAGTTTCCCTGAACAGTTGCAACAAGACAGAGGGTTTTATCCTATGCTTGTCTTCTTGTTTGAGCTTTTTGTTCTGAGTGAAAGATAACTTAATCGGGTACATGATAAAACAAATGTCTTTTTCATTTGCTATGCATTAATCGCTTGATCATGTCATGCATTTATTTGTTCTCAGGGAATTCGGGACCTAACGATGTTCGGTTCGTTTTCCCATGCTTTTTGTTCTGAGTGAAATAGATGGGATGCAGTTCACCCGGGAAGAGGTACTTGTGTAATCCCTGGAAGGATATCTCTTTGGGTTATCCTGTCTTTTTACAGTGTTGTGATCTGGTTGTGGGCACATAAGGGGAATTTGGTGTTGTTCTGGGAGGACTTGTGGCTGGTTGTGGGTGCTTTGAAGATTCTTTTTCCTAGACTGTATGCGCTTTCTAGCAATGATTTTGGCTGCGTTTCTAGTTTTGAGGATTCTTATGTCCACCTTTATAATTGGAATTTCGGCTTCAGGAGAAATCTTAATGGTGTGGAGGTGGATGAGCTGTCTAGGTTGCTGCATATTCTGGAAAGGGTGCGTTTGTTTCAAAACCGTGATGACCGTAGGAGCTGGAAGCTCGATAAGACGGGGTTGTTTTCTTGCAAATCCTACAATTTTTTTCTGCTTAACAGTGGCAGCAGGCCACTTTCATCGTTCTTGCCCCAGATTTGGAAGTCAAAGGTTCCCCCAAAAATTAAATTTCACGTATGTCTCCTGGCACTTGGGAAGCTTAATACTTGTGATCAAATCCAAAGGAGAAGGCCTTCCTTCTATCTTTCTCCTCAGTGATGTGTTTTGTGTAAATCTCATTTGGAAAGCATGGATCATGTGTTTCTTCATTGTCCTTTTTCCTTACAAGTCTGGTGGAGTTTATTTAGGGAGTCCAGCTGAGTTATCCCTAAAGACTGTTTTGATTTCCTATGTACTAAGTTTGAGGCTTTGGGTAGGGGGAAGAAAGCCACAACTTTATGGGAGTGCTTGGTGTATGCTGGTTTTTGGTTTATTTGGCTGGAACGCAACAGAAGAATTTTTTTTATGATTATCAGGAAGAGGGTGTCGAGGAAATCTTGAAGAAGGCTAGATATTGCGCTGCTCTTTGGGCTTCAGTTACCCCAGTTTTTAAGGATTATAACCCTTCTGTCATTATGTTGGATTAGTGGCGGCTGTGAAGTAAGGGTGTTTACTTCTCACGTTGCCTCTCTTCTCTTCTTTGCTGTTTATTTTCTTTTGGCTTTTTTTAGGCTGCTTTTGTGTTTTGTTTTGCCTGGCTGTGGATGCCTTATCACCTTTTCTATATATCGTTTCTATTCAGAAAAAAAATTGTCATGCATTAATTTGTTTTCCGTACTCTAATTATGATCCGACGTGCAGTTACTCACAGAGGAATCATGATATTATATTTTGTTGTGCCACTAAATTAGTAGACCTGACATTGTTTATTTTCTATAGAATGGCCCTGGATGCCCTATTGACTTGCGTGGATTTTATTACAAAGAGGTAAATGATTCGATCCTTCTATTATGTTTTTATCGGAAGGTTACTTAAATCAAACAGATAAGATCAATACATCACCACTTCACCTTTCATCTTAAAATTGTTTGGGATTCCAAGGAAGATGTTTCCTATACTTTTGTAAAAACAATAGATAAATTGCTGGTGAATATATTTGATAGTCCTTAATACTGAGAAGTAATCAAAATTGTCTTTTCGAGTTCTGAGGCATAGTGGGTTTTATCCCATGCTTGTCTGCTCTAATCAGTTTGTTCTGGGTAAAAGATGACTTAATCGTGCACCTGATAAAATTTATGTATTTTTTCATTGGCTATGCATTAATGCTTGCTCATGCAGTAATTTTTTCCGTACTCTAATTATGATGCGCCATGCAGCTGCATATAGAATAGTCATCATATTATTTCTTGTTATGCCTCTAAACTAGTAGTTCTGACATTTATTATATCTATAGAATATCGTTGGATCCAGATTGGACAAGTTGGGAATTCACAAGACGGTAAATGATTTGATCCTTCTATTTTGTTTGAATGTAAATGTCTGCACTTAGTTCAGTGTTGTAATTTCTCATGTGTTTGACCTTTTCTTTCTAAATTTGGCTTGTAGCTCTTACCATATCCTAATTAGTAATTTAGAAAAGTATAAACAGCCTATGCTTATCTGGGAAAATGGGGGCTAAGCGTTTTGTTCAAGCTGTGTGAATATATTTCAGCCCTGTTTTTATCTTAAAATGGAATATTACTCTACTGATGTGTGCATTTTGCTGCAGCCAACGTTCCATTGCTATCTAAAAGGGAAAAGGGTAGATGAGGTTTCCGGTGCTTCTATCAAACACTTGAAAAAGAGACTTGAAAATGTCTACAAGTAATTCTTCTCTCGGTTACCCTACTTCTGTGTGAATTTGTGTATTTGTGAATGGAGTCATATTTTGGTGCCCATGAAGGTTTTTGACTGTTGTTGAAGTCAAGATGTGATCTTTCTATATCTTTTTATTTCTATCTTTGTGATAAATGGATGAATGATATAGCAAGTTACTAAACTGACCCTATTGTTGAATTTTTCTCATCTGCTGTACTTGCTCCTCAATGTACGTAAAGTCCATCTGGGATGAAGAAAAGGAGGAAAGATGAGAATAATGGAGGATTTGTTACAGTACATCCAAGTATGTTTCCTGAAACATCATTTATTAAGATGAAGTCCGAACTTCGACTAGAAATTTTTAATTTTGATGGTGAGGAAAAGATGTATGATGAGGAAAAGATGACAGATGATGAGTACAAGAGGGCAAAGGACAAGAATCACAAGATGATGTGGTTTGCCAAAGGGTTGCTTTCAAGTAAAAAGAAGAGAGAGATGTTTTGTAAATTGAAAGATCCTGAAGCCAAGCGCAAATGGATTGAGAGTGAAATGGCTGAGGAATGAACTGGAAGTACTTGTATCATGGTACATGTTACGTTGTTCGACAGTGTCTATGGTTTAGACTTGTGTGGTGCTGGATTAAGATATCCTTTTTCTTTTTCTTTTTTAAAATTTATATACCCACTTCTAGCATCAATATTATTAAGATATCCTTTTTTTTTTCTTTGAATTATTAAGATATCGTAATTCATCAAATTTGGAGAAGGCTTAAATGTCAAAATGGTGCATGTGTTACTCATTTGGTCAATTTTGTCTCAGTGTTTTCAATTTGGCTAATTTAATCCATATGTTTTACTATGTTAGCTAATATTGTTCATTCTGCCAAACTAATGTTAAAAAATTAATTTAAAAAATTAGGATTAATGACAGTTTAGTCCCATGCGATTATACTCTTAAGATATGTTAGTCTCTATCTTCTAAATTTTTATAATTACATATCCCGGTTTTTAAATTTGTTACAATATGATCCATCGTTAGCATTTCCCTCCTATATCACCATTAGTTGCTTACATGGGATTTATGGATTTGACATTTTTGTTTTGTTTTTTATATTTTAAATTGATTAAAATTTTGGCACTTCTTTTTATTTTATTTTAGTGCACCGGGCGCGGGGTTTTCACCAACCCCCAGTTCCGAGGCGTAACAATTAAAGCTAGCAATACTGGAAGAAAACAACTTTAACATACAAGGGCTTTAGACTGTTATAAAAAATAATAGTTATAAACTTGAACTGAACCGATTAAATAGTACTAATTTCGGTTCTGTTTTGAGATGAAAACCAGATCAAACCATATCGCGCCCACCGTTAGTAGCCACAATGGCTATAAAGTTACCAACGGTTGGGTTTTAATTCAATCAACTCAGTTGAATATTCACAAGTGGGCCATGTTCCCCAAAGAAAAAAAAAGGTACAGTTACAATACAAGCTACAGACAGAGAGCATGAAATACGGTTACAATACAAGTACAGAGTTTTATGAAATAATGTGATATGTTTTATGAAATAATATTTTATTTTACATATGTTATGGATTAGTTAATTTTTTCAACATCGATACATGCAAAATTTTGTACCAAATCCCACATGCTTAGCTCTAGAGTTATACAAAACAAAATAGTGTAGATATCAATAATGGAAACAAAAACAAAAACAGAAATTGCAAACAAAAACAAAAAATGAAAACCAAAAAATTCATACCAACAGCTAGTAAAAATAGCCAAAACCAATAAAATCATATAATTGTTATAAAAAATAATAGTTTTCCTCTTTCCGTAAAGCCATATACAAATATATTTATATTATAAATAACATATAAACAAATTGAAAAGCTTTGAAGGTATAATGAAATTGAAGAAAACAAAATAATAGGTAAGTAAAAGGAAAATAAATAATAAGTAAGCAGGTGAGTTGTGAACCACGTCAGAGACGCTGTCCTAAAGCCTTTGTAGCCTCCCTACTATACAAATATATTTATATTATAAATAACATATAAACAAATTGAAAAGCTTTGAAGGTATAATGAAATTGAAGAAAACAAAATAATAGGTAAGTAAAAGGAAAATAAATAATAAGTAAGAAGTTGAGTTTGGTACGGTAAAGCATGTCAAAGATGCTGTCCTAAAGCCTTTGTAGCCTCCTTATGTGCAGGTGCTAACGGTCTACAAGACTCCAAGATACGACCCCTCGTACACAAACTCAAGATCCGCTATGAGCACATTTATAGACAAATATAGGTATCCAAGTCACATAACTATTGCCCAAAATAATAATAATATAAAGTAGAGAATATATGTAAAAGTAGAAAAGGAGAGAATTAGAATGTATATGTGATATTCTGATGTCAAATGTGAGGGAGGAGTGGCCTTTTATAGGCATCCAAAAACATGTAACCTTCACCAACCATAAAAGTTCACCAACCAAAAAATTAAGGCATTCACCAACCAGAAATAAAACTTGAATATTAAATATTTATAACCCCCACAATAAATAAAATGAAACAACCAAAATAATTAAATAAATAAAACGGTTAAATTTTTAAAACTTTTTTAAATTCCAACCATAATCAGATTAGAAACTGCAATGTAGCACCTAGTAAGCCACATCCCGAGATACACCTACTAATAAGTGAGGAACTAAAAGGCAAACCATGATGAAAGTACTAGAAAAATCAACTTTTAAAAACCAATAAATAACTAGAAAATTTAAATACAATTTAATCAAGAATATACATACCTCAAGAACAGAACATCTGAGCTTCACATCAAAACATGAATACTGCAACATAAGAAGAAGATCGAAAAACGCACTGCAATTTCTAGAAAAACCAAAATTTCGCATATTTAAGTGGGATTTTAAAACAAAAAAACAAAAAAACAAAAAAACAAAAAAACAAAAAAAAAACTACAAACCACAAACTACAAAAAAAAAACGACAACGACAACAAAAGCACAAACTAATTTTACAGAAAAAAAAACTGCACTTCAAAGTATGGGAAAAAAATAAACATATTAATAAGAGAGGAACCAAAATGCAAAACCATGATGAAAGTACTAAAATGAAAACTGCAATGCAATTTCCGTTTTCTGCATTGCAGTTTCTGATCAAGTTGCAACCACACTAACAAAAAAAAAAAAAAACCAAAAATCAAAGCCATTATGAAAACAAGCAACTAAACAAAGTCAAAAAGACACATCCATTGATGACACAATTGTATAATTTCCATTAACTTCAAAAATCATACCAATATCAAATGATAAAACAATTTAGCAAATTGTAATTAAATGGAAACTGCGATGCAGTGTGTAAACTGCAATCCAGTAAGGGCAAAACTGCTATGCAACACATGTCTAGAAATTCACTGAACTATCTCTAACATAAGCAACCATAAACTAAAAACGAAAAAGTACCTATTTTTTCTTTTCGGGTATGAGGAGACTCAAAGTCACTAAACCAAAAACACCAACGAAACATAACACATACTAAATTTATTGCAAAGACCTTTACTGCACTGAAACAAGAAGACTAATATATTGACAAACGGTATCGCTTTGGACACCAACACCCCACCGAAGCGTGGGAGCTGTAACAGAGAGGCATTGTGTCCCGGTGCGATCCCTCAGTTGTCTCGAGCGCGTAGGTGTGTTTAGATTCCAATTCAGATTTCGCCTATTTGTGATTTTCGGGTTCAATATGTTCGGACTGTTGGATCGAACTCAAATTCACATATGTTGTACCTTGTGTTTCTAGGATCATATAGGATTCGACGGATCGTGAATCTGACCCCGGGATACTCCAAAATCGCGGATCCTAGGTTTAAATATATCGTAATTGTCCGATCATACGATCGTGATCAATCCAACCGTCTGATTCAAACCAAACTTGCAGGACATAGTTATTTAAATGTGGGGAACCTAGAGGAACTCTTGGATTGATAGTTGGAGGTCGTGGACCCCATGGGGTCCCGGATTGGCCAATATGGAAATTTATCGCTTATTGTGTCTCGGGTCTTTTTCAAACCGTTCTAGTAATTAAATTTGTAATGGTTTAAATAGGTACTCAAGCACCAGTTGAACCGCAGGAGGGACCGTCAAAGGGTCAAGCGAGCTTGGACGCTCAGTGAATTGACTTTTGTTTTATAAATGATTTTATGCAATTAAGTTTCGTTATTTGATCTTGAATAAGTTATTATTGATTATGGCTTTCCAAGCATGATTAATTGGATTTAAATATTGTTATTTATATGCTGCTATGTTGGAAATGAAAAATGCTTGGAAAGTAGGAAATGAGGTGATTACCGGAGTAAATGGCTCGATGAGAAATAAATTGTAGTTTTTCCAAGAATGGCAATAGGATTTAAAGATGATTAAGAAATAGTTTTATAACTTTTAATCTTTTCCAGAAAATTTATTTATTTTAAAAACCACCATAGGTACCCAATGTTGCCTTCGGATTAAATGATGCCTCGAATAATATGTTGCCTTCGAAATAAACTGTTGCCCGGGTTATGTTAGTGCGTTTGACATTTGCCCCATGAGTCTTAGGGGTACCCGGACCGTGTGGAACGAGGAATGCAAATCAGGTTGACTAAATGTCTCCTGAATCCTGCGACGATTGCGGCTTGGATTGACCTTGTGTTATTGAGACCTGCTAGGACGTGTCACAAACGTGGCACGAGGAATTGACGGATAAATGTGATAATTGACGGAAATTAAGGAATTGACAGAAATATAATGGGTATACATAGGTGGTAGAGAAATCTTTATTTTTCAATATTTAAATTAATCGATGATTTTTGTAAGTGTGTGAATTATTATATAAATATAAATATGCATGTTGGATTTCTGTACGAGTATAATATGCAATTTGATTAAAATTTTCTAAATGTTTTTACAGTAGGGTTAGTACGTTCATATTCTATTTTCTTAAACTTTATTTTTTGTCCACTCACATTTTTCAATGTTTTGCTCCCCCAGGCAATAGGAGTGTACTAAAGGGCCACCACAGGGCAGACTCTACACTCCACTCCATCCCCTCCTTGTGTAGGATTTCTTTTGTAATCAAATGGTTTTATTGTATATTGTGGAATTAGTTACTATGATATTGCCCTAGGATTGTTGTAAGGCCTAAGTCCACTTCGTTTTGATGTTGAGTTGCTAGAATACTATGTTGACGCATGCTGAAAAGTTGGGAAACATATATATTGCTTTAGTACAGGTGAAAATTTTGGGAAATGATCAATTACAGGGGAGACTTTGCCAAATTTTCGGCAGAAGTCAAACTTGAAATAAAATTGGATTTTAGTTAGAAGGGCATTTCGGTCATTTGTGTCGGCACCCTATAGGTGTCGGACATGCACAGGGTTTGGTTCGGATTCAAAAGTGGAATTTGGGTCGGGTCCTGTTAAAAGTACTAAAATGGAAACATAAACTACATTGCAGTTTTCGTTTTTTGCATTTCAGTTTCCATTTTCTGCATTGCAATTTCTGATCAAGTTGCAACCACACTAACAAACCAAAAAGCAAAACCATCATGAAAACAAGCAACTAAACAAAGTCAAAATACATATCCATTGATGACACAATTGTATAATTTCCATTAACTTCAAAAATCATACCAATATCCAATGATAAAACAATTTAGCCAATTGTAATTAAATGGAAACTGTAATGCAGTGTGTAAAACTGCAATCTAGTGTATGCAAAACTACAATGCAACACGTCTAGAAAAGCGTCAACAGTCGTGCGGCTATACTATTGCTTTTTAAAAAAATTAATGGCTACAAAATGCTAATTTTTAAAAAAAGAAATAGTATAGCCATTATTGTTGAGGTACTTCTAATTTAACGTCGAAAGTTACCTGTGGCATATTTATTGCATATCTGATCTCATTGAAAGCAAGGGAATGCAGTTGAAAAAGAAGAACCATTCCACGCTTCCTTTTCCCATTAGCTTCATCAGTTCTTCCCCCTCTTTCAGATAACAGTAAGCTTCTTTGACCTTCAGTAATTTCTGCATTGAGTTATTGTACATCAACAATGCTTGAATTCAACAGGGAATTTAAAACAGAAACACATGTAGGAACTGAATTGAATGACCTACCAGAAGAGCTCTTTCCTCTTGGCAATAGCTCAATGAACTCTCCAATTGTGCTAGCTTTTCTTTCAGCCATTCCTTCTTTGGATAGTATTGTCTGAGATCACCAAATGCTGCAACATTAATCCAGTTTTTAGATGAACAAGTCCAAGACTGAAAGCACAAAGAACATATGAATCATGAAACTTACGATCAAGATACTGCAGAGCCAAAGTAAGAAGTAGATTGAATAGAAAAATATATCCAATTAAAGCCGCTACTCCAATCCAATACCATCGTGCTTCTGGGAAAATTCCATGAGACTTCAGGATCAAAACTCCCAAGGATTCTGTAGAATTAGGTGGAACCCATAACATAGAGATATCTCCACATAATCATGGATCACAATCATTCTACCTTGTATCAATTTTCTTTTAATGGAGCTACACAAACTTTGAGAGAAATAGATGATTACATGTCTCCAATTCTTTCCAAGAAATTCATTCACAGTAATAGCATTTTGTCCATACATTAACGGTGAGACCCAGTAACCCCACAACCACCATGATTACATGATAAAACAATTGCCACCATGATTTACAAATCCCTTCAAATGAAATTCAGCAACAAATTCCCAATAAAAAGTTCTAAATTCATAGAAATTCAAAATTCAAAACACAAGAGAGTAAAAGTGGGAGTGAGAGAAGTGTACCGGGTTGAGGTCTGATTCGTTCTGGAGCTAGAGCATATTGTCTCAGTTGGCCGGGTCGAGACCAGTTTTTCGGGTCCTCCAAAGAGCCCGAAGAATGTACTCAACCGAACTTTCGAATTGGACCTAGCCAATAGCGGTAAATGGCTCCACATCGTCTACTCCATGGCTTGTCAAGCTCAAAAATCGATGCCCTAGCTTCTCAACTTCAAAAAATGGCGGGCTAGGAAAAGGTCCAGTGACTCCCTTTGCTTCCACTTCTTTCTTGTTGAAGAGAAGACGAGCACCAAACGACATGACCTATGCCGTTTGGATTGAAGAGAGGGCATAGTCAAGTCGTTGATGGAGCGAAGGAAGATGAGAGGGAGGGCGTCGTCGTCGATGGAGTGAATAAGGAAGAGGAGAGAGAGAGAGAGAGAGAGGGGCTGAGATCTGTTTAGGGTAAAATTGTATTTTACATTTATAATTTAGACAGGTCCAAATTTGTTCGGCCTCCCCTTTAGGCATATCCAAAACAGAATTTGATTTATAGGTATTAAAACCCAAACAAAAATACTCTATGTCTCAAATCCTAATTAGTAAACATTGTATGTCTAATACCTAATTTTTCTTATAACTTAATGTCACGCAACTTAACATACAAGTGCTTCTAACTCATTTCTCAGCCATTTCATGCTACTCGACCTTGGATTCATGATCTTCCAATTTAGAAAATCTCTCTCTGTTCTCTTGACATAAAAGCATCCCTTTTGCAAAAGCCCACACCCCAAAACTGCATGTTGCTACAACCATCGATCCCGGATGATTCGACAACACTCAAGGCAGTGATGTTTTAGGAAACCTACTTGGAAGTACCTGAACAAGTCCTCCATCATTCTCATGAAAACAAAAGTAGAGTGTAGTGATGTGTTGATCTTATCTGTTTGACTAAAGTAACCTTTTGATAAAAACAAAATACAAGGATTGGATCATTACCCTCTTGTAACACTACTACATTTTACAGTTTGCGCACTAGAAAATTCGTCGCGCACAATCTATCACGCAAAGAGCGTGAAGAAAGACTCTGCGAGACCCATTTTTTTCATTTGTCGCGCAAAACTGTGCGACGGTTAACCTTCATTGCACAAAAGGCTTAGGGACGACACAACTGTTCGTCGCGCAATTTGTGCCGCAAATATTTGCGCTACGAAGAGTTCTTCGTCGCGCCAACGTGTGCGCGACGAAAAATATTGCGCGACGAAATAAAGTTCTTCGTGCATAGAATTTTTGCGCAACGAAACATTTCATTGCATAAGATTAAATTACATGTATTTAAGTTTTTTTTAAGTTTTTATATTTTGTAAAATGTGACTTTGCGCGACAAGAAACGTTTCGTCGCGCAAAAGTAATTTATATTATATAAATTTAATATTAAGTTTTTTTTTTTTAATTTTGTACAAAAATGAATTTGGTTTTTTTTTTTTTTGGTAAGAAAATGAAATTGCAAAAAATAAATGAATTGTAAAGAATACATTTATTATATAAAATAAAATAAATGTATACTACAAGATAAATTTTTTTAAAATAATTATGAAAATAAAAAACTACTCAAATAATGTTGCAAAATCTACATTGTTGTCTGGTGCATGCGGCTCGGAGGTCTGGGCAGGGCCCGTGGTCTGGTGGGGATGCTCTGGGTGGACGGGCTCGGAGGTCGACGTATAAAATTGCGGGACTGGAATGCCAGACTGTGCGAGGGACTGCAAAATCACCGACATCTAACTCTAAAGAGTGGCCACCTGTGCAGTCAAAGCAGTCACCTGATTTGACTGCGCTGATGGACAGAGTCTGGATTCCCTCTGCCGGACATTCCCTATCCCTCGACAATATGTCCCCGGCTTCCTCCTGAGAGTCTGATCCAACGTCTCCGTCAAGATCTGGAACCCAGCATCCTGTGGAGGATCGGGAGGAAGCTGGGAGGTGGAATCCTGAAGAACCAACTGGCTCCTTTCCACCATCGTTGTCTATTTAAGACAACATAAAATATAAATTAAAACATTCATATAATAACCTTTAAACTTGAATGCGTAACATAATAATTAAATTAAATAATACTTACATGAAGGGACTCGGCCAACTCATTCCTAGGTCGAACATAAACGTCGCCAAAGACGTCGATCTCTGGGAATTTGGACCCCCCTAAATTGAACAAGAGAAGAAAAATATTAGTATGAAAAAAATAAATTAAGAATAATGACATAGTAAAAATTAAAATTATTTTATTATTACCCGGCGCCGTGCATCCATCCTATATGAGAAGGGCCTGGAACCTGAATGGTGGAGAAGAGTCTTCTTCTTCCTATTGCCCTTATTGACTTTGGCTTTATTCTATTATACAAAAAATAAAACGTATTCGTTGAAATTGAAATGAAATATAAAAAATTAAATAAACATAAACAAGAAATATATAATAAATTTGAAATTCATATTACAAATTACCACAAAATCGGGCGCCTGAAAATGAGCGCAGAGCCACGCCCAACTATCTTCCCGCCCCTCCAGCTCCTTCGGGCAACCCTCCTGAAGAGCGACTTCCATATCATCAAAAGCCTCAAAATGGTGATGCAAGTCGCTCTTCCACTGCTTGTACCTATCAGAGAAGAGTCTGTTGATGTACGCTAACGACTCGTTTGCAATTTAATTACATACCGACAACTGGCCGCGTTTGAAAGAAATAGAATTAAAAGGTAGGATACATACCGACAACTGGCTGCGCACCTCCACCTTCAGCTCGTCAGGCATGACCTTCCAAGACTTCCATTGCATCGGGCAATGGGTCCGCACGACGTGACCAATGTCGTGGGCCAAGGAGCTATGCAACTCCGCCGTCGGTGCAGCCCGATGTCGCTCGTCGTATCCGATGTTGATACTACTATTGGTCACCCGGGTGACCTTCGCCGTCTTCAACTGCCGACACGGCCCTCGGGTGTTCTTCTTGGCTGTAAATTTAACTATAAAATAGACACACAAATACAATAACAATAACAATAACAAAAAAAGAAAAAGAAAAAAAAAAGAACTGGAGTTGAAGGAAATCTATACCTGGCTGTGACCCCGACGCATCAGTCGATGTGGTGTCGGTGGTGCTGGCGGGCCGAAGACGCCGCCTAGTGCTAACAGGCCGCGCCATTGACGAAGCCGATGAAGCAGGCTCCTGGGACCCCACGTGGTCCATCAGTGCCGGCTCAGAGGCAGCAGATGCCGGCTGAGCTGGGGGCTCCGAACTCGGTGCAGTTGTCATCGACCTATGACATGTAATCAGGTCTGACATCTGCACAAATCCATTAATACACATACAAATTAATAAAATATACGAATATTTGTAAGCACATACAATTTTATTAAGGATTGTGAACTAATTAATTAAAAGCATATAATGACTTAGGGTTTGCGAGTTCCGAGTATCCGGGACTCCGATCCACAATCCGTTGAATCCTACACGATCTTAGAAATAGAAGGTACAACATACATAAATTTGAGTTCGATCCAACGGTCCGAATATATCCTGAAATTGCACAATAGGCAAAATCCGTTCGAGACTCAAACAGTAACCAAATTCCAATCCAAACACACCTACGTGCTCGTGACAACTAGAGGATTGCACTAGGACCCAATGCACCCCTGCTATAGTATCCCACGCGCCACCACAGGGGCCTGGCAACGCGTGGGTGTCCAAAGCGATAACAATCTCCAGAAAATTCTAAAAACTAAGGGCCAAGGTTCCTACCCTAGATTCAAAACATCAATTGGAGCCACTTTTGTTCCCAGACCTACCCCGAAAAATGGCCGGAAGTGGCCGGAATTTAAATTCAAAAATGGGCCAAAACCTAGGGTTTCAATTTCACAAACCTATTGCGATAATTAAATAATTCCTACCCAATCATCAGCTAGAGCAAGACAAATAGGAAAGAAACCACACCTCAGCTGTGGAAATTGGTGGCCGGAGGAGAGAGAACCACGCCGGAGAAGAATCTGCGAAAACTAGCAATTTCTGGCGGCAGGCACGACAGTGATGGCGGGGAAGCTCCGGGGTTGGATGGTTGTGGCGGCCCGGTTCAAATTCCGGTGGAGTAGGTGGCTGAGGTGACGGCAGAGATAGCGAGAGAGAGTTAGGGCAAAAAGTCTGAAACTGGGGAAGAAGGAGGCGCTGGCGTCGTTTATGAAACTTTAATTGATTTTGCACGACGAACAACGAAAAGCGTCACGCAAAATGTTTTAAATGAATCTTTGCGTGACGAAAGTGAAATAATTCTGTCGCGCAATCTTGTGAGTCCGCCAAATTTTGGAGTTAGGTTATAGGGTTTGTGCAATTTTGCGAGACGAAAAAATAACATCGTCGCGCAAGGGTCCCTGTGACTCACTTTGCGCGACGAAAAAAGAACTCCTTCGTCACGCAATGTTGTGAGTCCGCCAAATTTTGGGATTAGGTTCTAGGGTTTGTGTGGTTTTGCGCGACAAACACTGGATACCGTCGCGCAAAGTTGTTATTCTGCCAAAATTTGGGATTTAGGGTTTATAGGGAAGATAGGAGAAGGTGAAAGGGCCGAATGAGATTGCGTGATGAAGAACCAATGATCTCGTCACGCAAGCATCTGTCCTCTACACATTGCACGAGAAATAACACTAAGTTTGTTGCGCAAGCTTGTTATTCGCCAAAAAATTGGCCTAAGTGTTCAGGAGGGGGGGGGGGGGGGGGGAAAACAGTGAAAGGGCTGCATGAGATTGCGCGACGAAGAACCAATGATCTCATCATGCAAGCATCTGTCCTTTACACATTGCGTGATGAATAACACTAAGTTCGTCGTGCAAGCCTGTTATTCGCCAAAAAATTGGCCTAAGTGTTCAGGAGGGGGGGGGGGGGGGGGGAAAACAGTGAAAGGGCTGCATGAGATTGCGCGACAAAGAACCAATGATCTCGTCGCGCAAGCATCTGTCCTCTACACATTGCGCGACGAATAACACTAAGTTCGTCGTGCAAGCCTGTTATTCGCCAAAAAATTGGCCGAAGTGTTCAAAGGGAGGGGGGGGGGGGGGAAGACAGTGAAATCGCTGCGTGGGATTGCGCGACGAAGAACCAATAATCTCGTCACGCAAGCATCTGTCCTCTACACATTGCCCGACGAATAACACTAATTTCTTCGTGCAATCCTGTTATTCTACACCCTAAACCCTAAACCTTAAATCCTAAACCCTAAACCCTAAAACCTACGCCCTAAACCCTAAACCCTAAACTAGTTTCAATGATCCAACCGGAAAACTTGTATTTTTATACTTCGAGACCGTATACCCCGAAAATCGGAAAAAACAAACATTTAGAGATCAGGTAACGGGACAAAATTTTTTGACGGTTATAAATGAAAAATTACGATTTAACGGTTATT